CCCGTGCCCCTTGTTCTTGCCTGCCGGCCCTCGTTCGAAGCGGATGCTGCGGCCTGGGCCTGTTCCTTGTTCCCTGGAGGCCGGGGGGCCGGGCGAGGAAGAAAGGGGCCCCTTCTTCCCTGACCTCGGGGGAGGGGGGCCCACAGAAAGCCATCGTGAGACCTAGCGGCTTCCGATGGGCTGGATACCCGCCAGCAGGAAAACCGTCGAGGTGGAGAGCACGGCCCCCAGGAGCCTGGGGCCGACACCTCGCCCGCAGATGCCCCCTGTTCATGCTGATGTGGGCCGTGGCCCCGCAAGCAGTGCAACACAACAGGGTGTCGTGATACGTGCAGGCTTCCGACTCACAGACCACCCCCTGCTCGAGAGAGCGTCCCGACTGGAGCCATGCTCCTGGGGTCAGGGGGGGGGGGCTCGGGAGGTGGCCCGTCTTCGGCCCCAACGGGGGCCTCCCCGGGATCCCGAACAGCACCTGGCACACCACCTGGCGTTCCTAGCACACTTCCCGAGGGCCGCGGCACGGGGAGAGGGAGACCAGGGACGGCATTCAGGAGGACATGGCTGAGCCATCCCAATCCGAGGTGGTCAGCCTGCGCCAACTCGCGACGTTCCGCCTGCTGATACGCGCGGGAGACTCCAACTCGCTTCACGAGCTCCGCACATCCACCTATGAGCAAACGGCCTTGCAGCTGCACACGGAATGGTTCCACCCCCGCCTTGGCCAGACGATCCGCCTCCGAGTTCCCGAAACGTTGCATTTCAGTGATACGACCTTCCCTAACATCAACACCCGAAGGGTGCGCAGGAATCTTAAACACAGGAATTCCAGACAGTCGGCCTTCTATATCAGCCCACTCGTGGGCCCGCAGGAAGAGGAGGAGGAGGAGGAGGAGGAGGAGGAGGAGGAGGGAGGAGGAGGAGGAGGAAGAGGAGGAGGAGGAGGAGGAGGAGGGAGGAGGAGGAGGAGGAGGAGGAGGAGGAGGAGGAGGGGGGAGGGTGCGGTGGACCATGGCGCGCAGCCCCGAGGCGCTGCAGAACTCCGCGCTCTCCTCCCTCGCAGGAGCCCGCTCGCCGCCCGCCTTGCGAAGCGGAGAGGACAATTTCGACGACGACGACGACTTCGACGACGACGACGACGAATTCGACAACAACTTCGACGACGACTCCGTGGAACTCGAGCGGGCCCGCCGTGGACGGCGTAGGCGGAGCAGGCGGAGCAGGCGGCGCAGGCGGCGGCGACGAGGTGATGTCGGCCCAACGGATACGGTCATGTATGGACATGTGTGTTAGCCAGCGTGGATCCCACACAGTGTGTTTCTAGCAATCTATGTGGTTGTGCATATATATATATATTATATATATATATATATATATATTATATATATATATATATATATATATATATATATATATATGTGCGAGGAGCAATGTATGTTGTGCATTCTATGCGGAGCTATCTATGTGGTGTAGCTTTTGTGGTACAGGTTACGTTGGGCAATTTCTGTTGTGCATTTCACCCTGCCGAACTTGAAGTTGACAATTCGACTGCCCGCGCAATCATTACACCCATCCACCCACCCGCAACCTGGCTTGCAAAACCCATGCGGCGGCGATTGCAATGAGTGTTTCGTGTTGGTGTGTGCACCTCTGCGGCCGCGCTAGCCCGCGCATGCTCGCGCGCGCAGCGGCCAGCTAGTTTGGCGCGACCGACGCTGCCACGGCGGTGCGCTTCCCAGCGGGCACTTCATTGCGAGTCGGCAACTTGGGCGGGCGCGGCATCATGGCAGCGTCAACAACGGCAAACACGATGATGGACAACGACGACGGCACGGCCAATGACGGCGCCGATGTTGATCACGCCGACGACGACGACGACGGCGCCCTCGCGTCGATGATGAAGGTTTTGAAAGGAGTTCGACATGCGATCGCGGCCGACGCGCGACAGTGACCCGCATGGTCTTATTTGACACGGATCGTGCCCCCCCCCCCCCCCAGCACGCGCGCAAGGGCGCTCGAATGATTTCGACATGCGGCGCGACAGGCCCAGCTGGCAGAATGTAAGGAAAATGGTGAAACACGTGGGGGCGTCTTAAGATTGGCACGAGCGCGAGCGCAGGCGTTGTTTTGGCAATCCGTGTTGCGAAACCACGTTTCATATGTGTAAATATACATATAAGTATACCTACATCCGTGTGTGTATATATATGTATATATATATATACAAACATATATATACACACATAAAGCATACAAAGATGCATGCATACATACATGCATCTGTGTATGTATGTACGTATACACACATATATATATATACACACATACAAATCAACCAGCGTTGACTCCAAATAGATAGGAGGAGCGGAGGAGGACAAGAGGAGGATGGGAGGAGGACGAACGTAGGACGGGAGCAGGACGGGAGGAGGACGGGAGGAGCAAAATCAAGCAAGCGCAAGCAAGCAAGCAAGCGGAAGCAAGCAAGCGCAAGCGAACAATAACAAGCAAGCAAGAGCCAGCGACCAAGTGCAAGCAAGCAAGGGCAAGCAAGAGGAAGCAAGCGAGAGCAAGCACGCAAGAGCAAGCAAGCAAGCGCCATTGATAAAAGAGGAGGTGCATTGAGAAAAAAGGTGGGGCATTGGAAAAATTGGGGGGTAAAAGATTTACTTTTGATGAGCTAGGACTCCTATAGGGCTGGCCTACTTGGACAATAGGCATGGGGGTTAGGGGGGAGGCATAGGGATAGGCATAGGCATAGCCATAGGAAATAGGGGCGCGTAGGAATTAGGGGGATCGGACCAACTAGGAAGGTCGGAGCTAGGGCAAGCCTAGTTGTAGAATCTACACATACACATATCATATATATAGCCGCCATACTGGTTTAGACCATCGGCCAGGCGGCCAAAGCTGTGCCCATGCGGCACGCCCGACCAACCTACCAAGGCTTTCACAAAAGCTGCAGGTGGCCATGCGGGCGATGAGGACCGCCTTGCTGGCGGCGATCACCCAGGGCGTGGCGGCGCAGACGGCGGAGACCGAGGCTGTGCCCGTGCGCAGGGCCTCGTGGAGGTTTCTGCACTACAACCCGCTGTCGGCGCGAGAGACGGAGAGGTTGGACGACATAGAGACCGCCTGCGAGGGCTACGACTTCGTCGGCCTGATAGGCACACAGCGTCGGTGCGACCTACCACTTCAGCAACAGAGAGCTGGAGAGCGATGGCGCATAGAGAGTGGATGGAAAAGAGCCAGCTACAGCAACAAGTCTGCAGGTGTGCTCTTCAGTTTCGGCAACAAATTCAAACCTCGACACTTACGACGGGCGATGGCGGCACCAGAACAGTGCGCAGGACGGGGCCTAGCAGTGCGACTGGCATCAAAACAGTTCGACTTCACGCTGATAGGCCTCTATGTGCCGCCACGACCGACCAAGTTGGAAACCCGATCGACATATGAGAAATGCGTTGACATGCTGATGGATTGGCTGCAGGAAGTCTTACAACAGACCCCGAGCCGAAGCTCCCCCATCATATGCTTAGACCTCAATGACGGCATGGGCCAGACGGTCACGGAGAACGGCAAGGGGACGGAGTTCAGGGACAGCACGGCTATCCACCGCCCAGGGTCGCGACGAGAACACTATGCTGGGCGCAGATTGCGGGAGATTCTGGAAGGACACCACATGGTGGCCACGACGATGCAGAAGGCCGACGACACCTGGTACGGTAACTGCGACAACTCGTCGCTCGTGGACTACATATGCATACCGACGGCGCTGGAGAAGTGGGAGACAAGCTGCGGACCGTTGGCGAGGCTTGGCAGAGCAATGCAAAAGATACCGAGCAAACAGCGACGAGATCACTTGCCAGTACATGTTAACCTTTGCATGCCCTCCATCAGCGAGCAGCGCAAGCAGGACAACTCACCAAAGTGGAATGCGGAAGCCATGATGCAGGCGTACGTGGGCATGGACATGGAGCGCAAGCGGGCCTTCGTTGAGGACATGGAGGCCACGCTTGATCAGAACTGGGACGAGCTGCTGGACTTGGCCAATCGTACGTCGGCGGATTACCTCTTCGAAAAGACGGAGCAGTTATTAATTGAAGTTGGACAACAATATTTCTCACGGGAACCTGAGCGAGATGAACGATACCAAGCCCTAAGGGAGAGGCGCATGATCTTACTCAAAGCACGACGAGGCTTTCGACTTCGGCACGATGAAAGCTCGGAAATGGAAGAACACGAAGTGGTGGAGGGACTCAAGAAACTTTCGGCTTACATGAAGAAGGAGCGAGAAATTGAATGGAAAGCTTATCAGGAGGATGTGCTGGACCAGATATGGGCACATTGGCGCGTTCGTAATATGGCAGAAGTACACAGACTTACACGGAGAGCGGCGAACACCAAGTACGGCGTCAAAAAGAGGCATTTCCTGACGGTAAAGGCCCTGGGACTTACAGCAGACAAATGGGCAGAACACTGGACACGGGCGGGACCAGACGGAGGCATGCAGGCGACACTGATGCACGACTGGGATCATTGGCGCAGCGAGCGACAACCTCAGGGTGCCGAGCCAGCAGTACTGGACGAACACCTTCGACGGGCAGCGGTTCGGGATCTTCGGCGGCTGGAGCGTTGGGTGAAAAGGGCCCCAAAAAGACGGACACAACCACCATGGGCAGCCCCCTTGGAGCTCCTGGCCATTCTCTTGAATCCGAATCCTGAGGCTCACCCGAGGAAGGGGCATAGAGGACTCGGCGCCCCTGAAGACCCCGTGAGTGCCCCGTTTTTCCGAGCTGTTCTGGAGGACGGTCTGCTCAGAATTAGGCAATCTGGTAGGACTCCCAGCTATTGGCACCTTAGCCAGGGAATTACCCTCCCCAAGTCCAAAGAGGCTCGCACGTCGGGGGGGACAGCAGACGGTACTAGGACGGTTCACCTTTTGGCCCCTTTAGGCAAGGGCTGGTACGCCATACAGAGTGTAGCTCCCAGGATGCAGGCACAGGTGCACGGTTTTCTAGAGGGCCGCTCAAAGGAGGCGGCGATCACAGTAGCACAATGTACAATGTGGCGTGCGCGCAGACAGGGACGCACAAGTATTACACACCTTCATGATTTAAGTAATGCCTTCGGCAGCGTCTCCTGGGACGAGTTTGACTCCACTCAGGAAGAACTGATGCTGGAAGATTTAGAACAATTCGGACGCCAGAGGTACCACGAAGCAGTGGTCCAGTTGCCAGGCGAGGAAGGCAAGGTGATGTTTCGGATCGGTTGTGGGGCGTTTATGGGGGACCCTTACGTGGTGCGCTTGTTTCTCCTTGCCTTCCAGAGAGGGGTGAACATCTGGCAACAAAAAATGAAGCAAACTGGCGGCGACGTAGGTAATTGTATAGCAGAGAGCCCGTTCACCAACAGAGATGTGGATCTTTCGTTGTGCCAATATGCAGATGACTTGTTGAAATCTTTAGTAGCCGAAGACACGGAGTCTTTGGCATCACTGGCCCAGCGAAGCTTTCTGGAGAACAGCACTCTAGATAGCGCGCTGGAGACAATTAGCTGTAGGCAGAATCGGGACAAACAAGAAATTATCCCTGCCTTCGCTGGGTGCGGCTCGACCAACGATGCTCGGGATCTCCGTTCGGGGAGGGTCCGTCTGCCAGCTAAGTTTAAACCTCACGCCCGGTACCTAGGAGTTCAGTTGCACGTAAACGGTAAGTTCGGGGAAGAGTTTAAAAAACGGCGAAAGGCAGTGGAACAGGCTTATTTTGCTTGCACTTGGTAGATTTTGGAGTTTGAAGCGCACGCCGTGGAAGGTCCGCCGAGGCCTGCTCATCTGCTGTGTACAGAACGCAGCGCTGTCGGGCAACGAGGCCTTTTGCCTCACGGAGGCCAACTGGCAGGAGCTAGACAAGCTCGTGGCCAGATTTGCACGCAGGGCGATGCGCGGAGCTGCTCATTCGACCGTGACAACTGCGGAGGGCGAGCAAAAGCACAAACATATGTCGACGTCAGAGGTTCTGAAGTACTGGAGGATGGCCCCGACAAAGCTGGAGGCACGAGTGCGACGA